TCTGTTACTTGTTGCTATATCTTTTACAATTGGAAGACACCTTCAGAATTAATGATCATTATGAAATGTTAACCTTTTATTAAATGTGTCACTGGAGGACAGTGTTATATAAGTGTAATTTGAAATGAAAAGGTAATCATCCTTCCAGCTTTAAAAGCCAAATGGAGGCTGGGTGCAGTGGCTCACGCCTGTAATCCTACACTCTGGGGGGCTGAGGCGGCCGGGATTGCTTGAGGTCTGGAGTTTGAAACCAGCCTGAGCAAGAGCGAGACCCCGTCTCTACATAAATAGAAGAAATTAATGGCCAACTAATACATATGAAAAAATTAGCCCGGCATGGTGGCCATGCTGTAGTTCCAGCTACTCGGAGCGCCCCGAGGCAGAGGATTGCTTGAGCCCAGAGTTTTGAGTTGCTGTGAGCTAAGGCTCGATCGCCCGGCCACGTCACCTAGCCTGCGCAACAAAGAGAGCACTCGTGTCTAAAAAAAAAAAAAAAAAGCAAAATGAACACATTCAACATGAAAGAATAATGAATTGCATTAAACAATTCCCTCACTTACGTGTTATTGGCTAGTTAAAAAAAAGAAACCCGATTTCTTTCATCGGTCATGATTAGTGTGATGTGTGTGTGTGTGCTGAGCGCAGTGTGTGCCTTGAGTGAGTTGATATTTTAGTAGTGTTTCGCGTTGACTTTGAAATGTCGTTGGTATTCATGTGACGATGTGTGTGTGTGGTAGTGTGCAGTGTGAATAGTGTGTTTGTGTGTGTTTGTGTGTTTGTTTTTTTCTCTGGAAGAAGTTGAGAGAAGGTGTTGAAGTGATATGTGCACATGCGTGTGAGCGCGTGAGCACTGTGAAGTGTGAGTGAGTGAGTGTGCAGCCGTGCGTGAGGGTGCGTGTGAGCAGTTGTAAACTTGTTGATTTTTAAAAGAAAATTAAAATTTTTCTTTCTAGGAATGTGGACTGCGTGGTGTTTGACAGATGCGAAGCCTACAGAGAGTGAGTGCTTTGATTGGCGTTGTAATTTAAACCTGACAACGTGCTTATAAGAGTGCGTTGTGCGTGGTCTTTCACCTCATATCTTCAACATTACTTATTAATATATAAGTATGGGTATTTGCTGGTTGACTATGGATATTATGATTTTCAGTTTCTGTTCTGTTGTCCTAAGATGTTTGCAGTTTAATGTACTTGGAAGTATATCCAGACCATGACATGGAATGGTCTTCTGGGCTCCTGTCAAGGTCTTTGAAATAAATCTTTCTATTTATTCTCTGTAATTCCTTGAGGTAGTTATATTTTGGACATATTGGAAGGTCTTGTGCTTCCAGTTTGTGTCACAAGCCTTGCTATTATTTTGGAATTAGTTAAAAGGAGCAATATATTTTTGAAACATTTTTGTTCTCTAGCTTTTTAATGTTCTTCTAGACAATAGCCCAGATGACATAAAGTATGCTGGTACACACACACACACACACACACACACACACACCCCTCATCAATATGAACTCTTCTTGGGCAGGGTCATATCTGTACATCCTAGTTCCTTGAATTGCTAAATAGAGTTGGCCACCCAGTGATAAGTGTGCTTTTAGCAAGAGGCCATAAAATGTTCTGATGGGAGGAAATGTACAAATAAGAATGGTTAACTGTAGAAGTTATTCTCTTTTCTTTCAGGTAAATTTATACTAACATCATTTGGAAAAGCTTCCAGAAGTTTCTATTCCTGAATTTCACAGTTTCTATCCCTGAATTCCTTGTTTCTGTCAGGCGTTCTCAGTTATTTCTAAGCCCCCAGGGTCTCTTTGGGCTGGTTCTGGCCACCATGGGACACCTGAACCTCTGTCCTGAAGCTTAAAAGATAATTTGATAGTCTTAAAGATTTATGAAGTCATTCATCTCTATGTATTAAAGATGTGTGGTACATTTTGCTTTCCTCATATAATCCTCTCTCTTAGACAACCTTCCAAGCATCTTTCTTTTTTCATTTGTCAGTCTGTACTTTAACCCATCTTTGTTCTTCTTTACTTATCAACTCCTGCCTGATACCCACTGTAAAACTCATTCTATTGTTAGTAATACTTTTCTGAAATCCTTCTTCTACAATTTCACTGTAATAGGAGAAACCTAACATTCTCACTGGTGTATTTACGTCCCTTAAAACCTTCTTAAGTGATCGACATTCACTCTGTGCACGAAGTTTACAATTCACTCTCTCTAGCGACTGTTTTCCTAACCATTGTCAATGTCTATTTACAGATGACAGTCTAGAATATTCTGAGAGGTTTGTGGAGAAAAATGAAGGATACACGGTAGACATTCATGACCTTTCTTCAGTTAGCAATCCACGTGTCAGAAAGCATTTTCCAGAGACTTGGATTTGGCTGGACACCAAGATGGGGTAAAAATTTATAAAGTTCTTTGCCATATATATTTTGTTTAGTGTTTGTTTTAAATAAGTTTAGATGTATTTTTTTTTTTTGAGACAGAGTCTCACTTTGTTGCCCAGGCTAGAGTGAGTGCTGTGGTGTCAGCCTAGCTCACAGCAACCTTTAAAACTCCTTGGCTCAAGCAATCCTGCTGCCTCAACCTCCCGAGTAGCTGGGTCTACAGGCATGCACTACCATGCCCGGCTAATTTTTCATATATATATTAGTTGGCCAATTAATTTCTTTCTATTTATAGTAGAGAATGGGTCCGCCGGTTGCTCAGCTGGTTCGAACTTGCGCTGACCTCAGCAATCATCTGCCTCCAGCCCTTTCCCCAGAGTGTAGCATTACAGGGTGAGCCACTGCGCCCCGGCCATAGATGTATTTCTAATGTTTAAGTACAAACATAATGTGATTCAGAACTAATAGACCAAGAGATTTTGTTTTAGAATTCATGTTTATTGAATCTAAGTACAGTATTTGGTAAAGCCACAGTGCAAATTGTGGTTGCGGAGAGATACGCGGTCTTTTTTTTAAAGTGAAGGGGTGATTTTAACTTCTTTGAAGTCTCATTGTTCTTAGGTAAATCATGAGATCTACATGGTTTTCTACAGTCAGCCATTTAGGATAAGTGAGCTAAGAATGACTCAAATCTCAAAAAAATATAAATAAACAGCATTGACAGGGATATAGAGAAAAAAGCTTTCTGTAAACTTAGAGAAAAATTGAAGTTCAGGTTGAAAATGTGTTTTATTCTGTATGCAAAATTTATGGAAAAAATAATGGTCATTCTTGAAATAGAAACATTGTTAAAAGATTTTATTAGATATTAGGTCAGTATGCAGTATTATGAAATATAATGATTATTCCTTGAGAACTTAGGATCTACTGTTTATGTTTAAATCTTTTAATAGTTTAATGTAGATATGTAAATTATGGAAAATTTAATTTCTTCCCAAAATAGTTTAGGTTATGTTGATTATTTTGAATGTTTTTGTGATTTTTATGTTTATCTTTGACTTCAGATCCAGGATTTTCCGGCAGGATTTGAAAGTCACTGTGTACCTGATTCTATCATCTTGGGGTAGCGTGGTTTGTGATCTCTGAGAGCCTAGGTCTTGGACTAACAACTGGTCGGTGGGTGATTCCATTAAAGGGGGTGTCTTACTGAGATGTTACAGTGTCATTAAACTAAGAAAGCACTCCTCAGTGGAGTTTTTAGACAATGATTGTTATGATGTTTGTCACGTTTGGAGATTTCTTGGCTTTGCCTTTTGCTTTTCATTGTTGTTATGTTTAGAACATGAGCTGTATTAAACTGCAGAATGTGTGAGTGTTCAATATTTAGATTCAGTATAGAAACGTTTATTATTGACCTGATCTTACCACCCCAAAGGGGCAGAAGAGGGAGTCTTTCCATGTGTCCCCTATAAAGGCATGAGCAGAACTTCTTCCAGATGTGTCCTAAGCCAAACATTGCTTCACATCAGTTTATGGTCCAAATTTGTCATGTGTTGTTTCTCAACTAGTCACTGCAAAGAGGAGTATAATGACCATGGGAGGCCTTAGGCCAGTAGCTCTCACTTCTGTTGCACCTTTTTTTAATAATAGATACTTTGTGTTGCCTTTTTACCATATCAAAATGAAATTCATAGAAAAGTATAACATACATGATTTTTTCAAAAAATCAGTGTGTTACTCTAAGTGAAATACTAAGGAGAAATAAAAGGAAAGTAATGTATAACAAAATATTATAATATGTATCTCAGTAGGTAAGTGAAGAATTTTGACCTGAATAAAAAATATGTACTCATTGTATTTTTTTTCCAGCTGCAAGCCTTCCAACCATTTTTCATTTTTCTGAATCTTCCCTATTCTGTTACAAGAGGTGAAGAATTTGCTTTGGAAATAACCATATTCAATTATTTGAAAGATGCCACTGAGGTAATATATTCGAGGCTTTGTTGATCAGTTATACTTCATGAGAAAATGGAGATAACATGCCGGGATTGGGTTGTGTAGTGTCTGAACATCTGGCCTTCTAAGCATTTTATATATTTCTGGGAGATTAAAAATAGACATATTTTTGTCAATGATTTCCTCTGCTAATCAATGTCTAAGGATATCCTTAGCATGTCTGAGCATTCTTTCCTTAATTTCCAGCACAGGTTGTCCACTTTAGCCATGTATCTTTTTTATTGTCTCTGAGGCATGCCTTTCTCTTTCCTGCCTTTCTGCATTTTCCCTTGTGCTTCCCACATTTAGATGGGTTGTCACTTCTCACTGCCATTCTGTGTCCACTGCGGTTGACAAGAAGTTATTCTCTTCATGATCTGGCTTGAAACTAAGTTGCATTTCTTGAAGCATTTCACTTATTCTGTAATGATTCTGTAGGCCCCATGTTTACATGTGCATTGTATTTTCCAGGGTTTACTTTTCTTTTTTTTTAGAGACAAGGTTTGGCTGGAGTGCAATGGCATGATCATGGCTCTCTGCAGCCTCAAACTCCTGGGCTCAAGCGATCCTCCTGCCTCAGCCTCCCAAGTAGCTAGGGCTATAGGTGTGTGCCACCATGCCTGGCTATTTTTAAAAACTTTTTTTGTGGAGATGGAGTCTTGCTATTTGTGCTTAGGCACGCTCACCTGGGTTTTTCGAGGAGTAGCTATCCCCAGTGTAGAAAAAATCAGTACTTGAAGGGTTCTTTTACCATAATTTCACTATCCTCAAAGACACTAGGCATTTCACCAGCATTTTGAGAGGAGTGGGTTCACAAGCTCATAGCCTAAGATGATTCTCAGAGCGATTTCTATGTCGAGGCCTAGCTAAGGGGCTATTTCTAAGAAGTCGGGCCTAGAGCCTTTAAAATAACCATTCTTTAAAGAATTATCTCCCCATAATTGCCTAGCCTGGTCTTGAACTCCTAGCCTCAAGGGATTCTCCCACCTTGGTCTCCCAAAGTGCTAAGATTATAGGCGTGAGCCACCACTTCGAGCCAGATTTACCTTTTGAGTCATGTGCCTTGTGTCTCCTTAGCTAGTCATTTCCCTGGAAGGCACATTACAGTTCCCACTGTATCGTGCCCACAACAGTGTTCACTAAATGATTGATTCTTTTTCCCCTGGAACAAGTATGGATTTGTATTACAATTAGCTTTATATCTCTTTAAGGTACTCTATCTATAGAGAAAATTGGTTTATTATTATTTTTATTTTATTTTTTAACTTTACCTTTTAATCATCATGGTACAATGTAACAAGCAAAAGAGTCAGAAGGCCCAGATTCAATGTCTAGTCTACCACTTGTCAGCAAATAACTTATTATAATTGTAGTTTCCTCATTGGTGAAATGGGAATCATAATTATTATCTCTACAAAAATTATTTTGAGAAGCAGATGAGAAAATAAATGGGAAAACAATTCATGAAATGTAAGGCCTAGAGAAATGTTATTCTTTTTTTTTTTTTTTTTTTGAGACAGAGTCTCGCTTTGTTGCCCAGGCTAGAGTGAGTGCCGTGGCCTCAGCCTAGCTCACAGCAACCTCAAACTCCTGGGCTCAAGCAATCCTGCTGCCTCAGCCTTCTGAGTAGCTGGGACTACAGGCATGTGCCACCATGCCCGGCTAATTTTTTCTATATATTTTTAGTTGGCCAATTAATTTCTTTCTATTTTTAGTAAAGATGGGGTCTCGCTCTTGGTCAGGCTGGTTTTGAACTCCTGACCTTGAGCGATCCTCCTGTCTCAGCCTCCCAGAGTGGAGAAATGTTATTCTTGATGAGGCTGGAAACTTTGGGATAATTTACAAAAGTTTATAACCAAGATATGCTTCATACTTATGAGCTTATGGACTTATGTCTGAGTCATGCTTTCGTTGGAATAGTTTTTCCAGAGACTCTCAATGAATGAATAATATTTTATCTTGTTTGTCTCATATTTTTCTAATGGGACCGGTGTGTCCTAGGACGACAGAGTTAAGTGAGGCTGGTGGGGATACCAATATATGAAATGGCGTTTCCATGCACATCCTTACCACATAATGGCTTCAGATAATGAGAGAATTTAATGTTAGTGGGAGAACTGGAAATGAGCTAAAGAAGCCCCATCCCCCCATATCTTGAGGTAGAGGGAGAAAGCATAGAAAAGAAATGCCTTCTTTCTAGGTTGTCTTGAGCCTCACAGATTTAGCAGCACTTAGGGTGGTGATAAAACAACACTTTACTGGAGAGAATTTATTATATATAACGTTTGATTTTTTTTTTTTTCTTCCAGGTTAAGGTGATCATTGAGAAAAGTGACCAATTTGATATTCTAATGACTTCGAATGAAATAAATGCCACAGGACACCAGCAGACCATTCTGGTTCCCCGTGAGGATGGGGCAACTGTTGTTTTCCCCGTGAGGCCAACACATCTGGGAGAAATCCCTATCACGGTTGCAGCGGTTTCACCCACTGCTTCTGATGCCGTCACCCAGAGGATTTTAGTAAAGGTACAGATTTGAAGTCTTAAATAAATGAAATGGAAATACGTAATTGGAAGGAAACAGAAGTTTCTTCTCTTGGTTCAATTTATTGGGAAATCTAATAGGTTGTCTCTTCCCCAGTGCCTAATGATTTTCTCATCTGTATATATAGAATATATTGCACATGTGTTTTAGAAATAATTGTCAATTTCCTCTTTGAATTTAATCAGAAGTTGACTATAAAGATCATAAAATCTCTTTTATAGTCATTTACACCTACAAACTGTGTTACATTGGATCTTGTTAAATCATGGTCAAGGTGATATGTATATCTGGAATATTGGAATTTCACAGTGCAGGTAGAAGAGATTTTGTAGGTTCTTTTTCAGAGAAGACATTCTGTACAAAAAGATAACTCGGCACAGTGGGTAAGCACTTGTGTTCTGGGGTGAGACAGCCCTGGGCTTGAATCCCAGCTCTGCCAAGTAAGACTTTAGTGAAGGTATTTAATTCCTGTCTTTGGCTAATAATAGGAACTACCTCAGAGGGTTTTTCTTATTACATTTTCAGCTTTTCCTTTGTCATTTTCATGGTCATTCTGTGATATGTTTTGTCTAATTTAACTAGAAAGTAAACATTAAAAGATTTGAAGAATCAAGAAATGGTAGGTACTTAAATATGTCATCAGATTTAATTTAGTTCCAAGGAAACGGTGCCAATTAAGTTCAGATCCTGTTGAAAAGCACATTTCAGTTAATGCAGGGTACTGTATTTAGTGAGAAAATCTAAAAGTAGAAAAAAGTAATCAAAGTTATGGCAATTTGTAGTAATACAAATTTAAAGGAAAAACTCATTCTGTGAAATTAATGTTTATATTACTTATTTAAATAAAATACCTAATTTAAGGAAGAAAAAGAAGAAATGGTAGGTACTTATCTAGGCATACACAAACCACAGGTACAACAGGTTGGATGTTTGTCTTCACGTCTACATACAGCTCTCTATAAACAGATGAGTAGAGACCATGTTCTTTGTGTTCTTTTTTTTCAACAGGCTGAAGGAATAGAAAAATCATATTCACAATCCATCTTATTAGATTTAACTGACAAGCAACAAAGTACCCTGAAAACTTTGAGTTTCTCATTTCCTCCTGATACAGTGACTGGCAGTGAAAGAGTTCAGATCGCCGCATTTGGTAAGGATAGATTATGTTGCCATCTATTGGTTTATTTGTATATGATAATATACATTGTTCACTTATTTATAGATGTAATTTCTTATTTAGTCCTAATGAGAAGAGATTGCAAAAGTTTTTAATTGGTCCCAACTACTGATTACAGTACAAAAGCTAGCAAATTATGTATCCTAGACCAATTCTGCTCAGTCTTTAAAGTACATATGAATCACCTGGGGATCTTGTTTAAAAGCAAATTGTGGTTTAGTAGGTGTAGGGTGGGGCCTGAGATTCTGCATTTCTAACAAGTTTCCAGGTGATGGTGATGCTTCTTTTTTTTTTTTTTTGATTTGTTAGTATATTTATTAAACTTGAAATTATAAAAATTTGTAAGAATAACATGAACACCATTAATTTGCAGACCAAATTTTATAAAGTAGCAAGGCCTCACTACCCTGTGGCTGGAGAGAGAGGTTATTTTGAGAGCAAAGTTTCTGGATTCTGTGGGTTTCTACCCCTGGTGAATATCAGAATCTTCTAAGGAAATTGGTCAAAATATGAATATCTGGGCTCTACTCTACACCTACTAAGTCAGAATTTCTTGGGCTATGGCTGAGTTTCACCAGTGATTCTGACAACCAAAGGTTGAAAACTACCGTCTCGAGCAGTTCTCTGCAGGATACGAGTAACCTTTATAAGTAGGAAGCCACTCACTGACTTTAGTCATGTCCATAACCTAAAAGTGCTTTTAAAAAAATTGACAGCTTATAATTGTATGAATTTATGGGGTACAATGTGATGTTTGATTTATGAATATAATGTGGAATAAGTAAATCAAACTGGTTAACATATCCATCACCTTAAATACTTAAATTTTTTTTGTGATGAGAACGTTTGAAATTTACTCTTAGCAAATTTGAAATGTACAATACTCTTTTTACTAACTATATTCACCATGCCCAAAGTACTTTTGAATTAAATATAGCTTCTACACAAATGGTGTATTAGTCAGGGTTCTTCAGAGAAACAGAACCAATAATGTATATAAGATTGGCTCATGTGATTATAAAAGCTGAGAAATCTCATGATTTGCTTTTGCAAGCTGGAAACCCAGAAAAGCTGATGATGTAGCTCAGTGAGTCCCTGAGAACCAGGGGAGCTAATGATGTAAATCCCAGTCTGAGGGCTGGAGAAGATGAGATGAGATGTTCAGCTCAAGCAGTGAAGCAAAAAAAAGGAGTGAATTCCTCCTTCCTCTGTCTTTGGTTCTATTCAGGCACTTAGCAGATTGAATGAAGTCCAACCACTTAGGTGAAGGCAATCAAATTTGATGAGTTCACTAATTCAAATGCTAATCTCATTCAGAAACACCCTCACAGACACACCCAGAAACTGTGTTTAATGTGGGCAGCCTGTAGTCCACTCAAGTTGACACATAAAATTAACCATCACAAATGGTTTGTTTATGTAATTGTGCCTTATGAATAACTGAAGAAAATGTTATAATTAATGGCATATAAATAGTTTGTTAGGTCTTTAAAGCATTAGGACCTAAGGCATTTTTTTAGAATTCTTTTACATTTTACCTGCATATGTAATGCTTTTCATTACAACTCCAAACATCCAATCCCTAGACAGAAGACTTTATTTGGAGTCTCAGATATAATTCTTTTTTTTTTTTTTTTTTTTAAGAGGCAGTGTCTTCCTATGTTGCCCTGAGGCTGGACTCCACTCCCAGCCTCAAGGAATCCTTTTGCCTCATTCTTGAGTAGCTGGAACTACAGGCCTGAGCCTCTGCCCTGGCCAGTTCTTAGAAAGAATTATGTAAACTCTCTGTTTAAGGGAATAAATTCTGCCTAAGCATCTCCCACAGTGTTGGGCTGCTGAGAGATGCAGTATATTCACACATACATGAATTTATTGAATTTTATTTTATTTATTTATTGTTTTTGAGACAGGGTCTCACTCTGTTGCCTGGGCTACAATGCAGGAATGTCATTATATGTCACACTGCAGCCTCAAACTCCTGGGCTCAAACGATCCTCCTGCCTCAGCCTCCTTAGTAGCAGGGACTATAGGCATGCATTGTCAGGATCACCAAAGTTTTATATTTTTTTTAGAGATGGGGTCTCACTGTGTTGCTCAGGCTGGTCATAAACTCCAAGCCTGAAGCAGTCTTCCCATCTTGCTAGGCCTCCCAAAGTGCTAGGATTACAGGTGTGAGTCACTGTGCCTGCCTTGCCCTTGAATTTTAAATGTATACCACTACTCTGTACTTCCGAATGAGTCTATCTATGGTCATAGAAATATTCTAAGGCTTAATTTTTATGCCTGATGTAAAGAACAGATTTTCAAATTTTATTTTTATATGGTTTTTTTTTTTTTAAAAAAAACTTATTCTGTAGCCCAGGATGTATGAATATTAGCTTGCTGCTTTGAACTTTGAGAGTCTAAGTTTCTATTCACTTTGAATATTGAAAACATAACCTGCAGTGGTAATAATATAAGCTCTATATATTCCTTTGTGTCAACATCTAAAGTTTAAGACAAATTGGCATGGCTGCTACCTATTCACCTGAAAGAGGTATTTTACTGTTTTTTGTATTCACTTTTTTTTTTTTTTTTTGAGACAGAGTCTGCTTTGTTGCCCAGGCTAGAGTGAGTGCGGTGGCGTCAGCCTAGCTCACAGCAACCTCAAACTCCTGGCTCAAGCAATCCTCCTGCCTCAGCCTCCCAAGTAGCTGGGACTACAGGCATTCGCCACCATGCCCGGCTAATTTTTTGTATATATTAGTTGGCCAATTAATTTCTTTCTATTTATAGTAGAGACGGGTCTTGCTCTTGCTCAGGCTGGTTTCGAACTCCTGACCTCGAGCAATCCGCCCACCTCGGCCTCCCAGAGAGCTAGGATTACAGGCGTGAGCCACCGCGCCTGGCCTGTATTCACTTTTTTAGGATCAGATTTTCACTAGGTATTTGTATTTGGTTTGGTGTAAGTTTTCAAAACAAACTACAGAAAAGGATACTCTTCTTCATACAGCTTAAAACAGCAGGGTCAAAATTAGAACTCAGCCTTCATAGTTCTGAATTTTTATTAATTTTCCTGAGTCATGGTGTTAGGATGTGAGTAGAAGAGTTGTTTAAGCATGTGTTTTGTTTAATTTTAGATTACTAACTTTGAAGAATATCCATAATCCTTTTTGATCCTGAGAGTCCTTGAAATACTTATACTTTTTATTTCTACTTTGTTATTGCTCAATAGAAAGCATTGAGAGACACTACAATCCCTGCTCTTTTAAAAAATATCATTTCTCAAGTACTTGTAGTGTACTGTCAGTAAGAAATCAGAATAAAGTTCTGTTTATGTGAAGAGTACTAATAATAAAACAGTTCTTTCCTGTGTAAGAATGGTGGTGTCCTAATAGTTAATTCCTGACATATTGGTTCAAGACTTAAAAAAAATTATTTTTTTCCTAATTTATGCCTTATCTTTAACTGATCTAAAAGTCTTCTAATTAATCACATGATCTACAAATCCAGTACCACTATAGTGCTACTTTTTTGACCAGTCTTCCTAAATCTTGATGTAAAGTTTCTACTTTGTTCCAAGCAGTGGAATAATCATGGCTTTAATGACAAATGCCTTCTGTCTTCAGTGGAAGTCTCTTCGACATCGGTAGGTAACACTGAGTATTCACTGAATGAATTTAATGTTTTGTGCTTCCAGGAGATGTCCTCGGTCCTTCCATCAACGGCTTAGCCTCATTGATTCGGATGCCTTATGGCTGTGGTGAACAGAACATGATAAATTTCGCTCCAAATATTTACGTTTTGGATTATCTGACTAAAAAGAGACAACTGACAGATAACTTAAAAGAAAAAGCCCTTTCATTTATGAGGCAAGGTAAGCATATTAGAAACCTACTTTTGTTTGTAGAAAAAAAAAAGTTTCTTTCTTTCTTTTTTATTTTTTCAGTCAGGGTTCACTCTAGACCATATTTCAAACTATACAGATTTTGTCTTTGGTGGGTGATGATGGGTCTAGATGGTGTTGAAATAAGACGGAAGTGCAAGCAGTGGGAGGCTGTTACCATTCTTCCTTCAGCTAACTATTCACTCATTGCTGCTAAGGTGTTTGTTAGTAGTGTTTTAAGGACTTAGTTTCTGGAAGGGGTTTTATTATAATAATGGATCTGAAATTTAAAACTCTTTAAAAATCTAAAAGAATGCTCATCCATTTGTTCATTACACAAATATGGAGTGTCTCTTAGTGCCAGGATCAGTTCTAACACCAAGGACACAGGGAGTCAGGGCCTTTCTTCTTAAGGAATTCATTGCTCGGTGGAGAAGAAGGTTGTACATAAACACATGAGGTCTTGTGGCGGGACCTTCTCCATACATTTAAAATGTTAAACAGATGGGGTCAGGAGAGAAATGGTTGTATGGGAAGGACCTGCTGGCCCCTCAGAAAATGCCACACCAGTGATGACTCTACCTTGATCCCTTGAGAGGTGGACTGTCCACTGACATCAGGTGACTTGTGTCAGCAACTTGCTAATAGCAACATTAAGGTGAGTCGAGTGCTTGCTGTGTGGCAGACTGTTTCTAAGCACTTTACATCATCTCTCACTGAATGCTCACAGTGAGTGTTATTAATAGTACCATCTCGTTTTACAGATGAGGAAGCTGAGGCACAGAACAGTTAACTGGTTTGCCCAGGGTCATATAGCCAGTAAGTGGCAGAGCTGGGATTCAGACTCCCAATTCATGCTTTTAACTTCCACACTTAGGAGAAAATAAGAGTGTTGTGAGATGTGATTAATACTGCAAGTTTGGTTTCCTGAAAGACTCCAGAAGCCAACCCAAAGTTACCATCCCAGTTTTGCATTTCCCCTTATCAGGGCACCTCTAGCAAGATCTCTGTATGTGGCTGAGTGTTTCTCTCTGCACAGTTTATATGATCTATGCTGATATATCCTGTCCATCAAACTCATGAGCATTAGAAGGTTCATACAACATGAATAGAAATGCTTATTCAGTTAATCTAAGAAAAATAAAGCTCAACACTTTCCAACTCCTAATTTTTTGTTTTGGTTTTTTTAATAACAAATGAGTTAAATGCAAAGTAGAGGCAAGCTATTAACTGTTTTGCTAACTTTTCTATAGAAGAATTCGAACTCAGTAAAGACACCATTTTAATGTAAACCTTTCTTCCAGGTTGCCTCGTTATGTAGCCACCTGTTTATCCTAAACTAATTCTGTGTAATAATAGTAATAGCAACTAACACTGTTTAAATGTTTTCCATGTTTTTTAATTTTTGCAAAAACTCTTATGAGATGGGTGCACTGTTATTATTTCCATTTTAAAGATGAAGAAAGTGAGGCACAGGGAAGTTAAATAACTTGCTCATAGTTACACCCTCCACCCGCCAGTGGTCTGCTTGGAGTTTGACGTCTCTTCCTAGACATGGGGATAAATTTTTAGTTTACAACATTCTTGGATTGTTCGAAGCAAAGGGCTAGGATGGGAAGGACCAGGAATTGGGCCAAGATGCTTGAGTACCACCAATGTGCCAGAGGTCTCAATGGGGATTCTGATAAGATGGAGAAACAGGGGGTCCTGTAGGGAAGGAGACAGAAAATGTTAGACGCTGGGGTGTAGGATTAGACTGCAGTGAGTGGTACAGTGTTGGGTTCTAGTAAATGGGCTGGAGTCAGTGTCCAAAGATCTCCCTGGGGTAGGATGACACAGACGAAGGCTGAGTGGGGGGCAAGGGGTTGTGAGTCAGGGACGATTGCAGTGCGTGAGACGACAGATCAAAGGAGACCAGGGTTTGGAGTCAGGGCTGAGCGGGACCTGAGTTCTGAGTGGGGAAGGACATAATGGCATGTTTACCCTCTGATTATGGCCAAGCCCTGAAGACACTGTGCGGCCTCAACCCAGGAGGTGGTTAGGTCTCTGGGAAATTCTCAAAGATCTGGCAAAAGTTGGTGTTTTCTGTACGAATGCCTGTGTATAATTATCTTCTTTGTACATGTTTGTGGATCAGTCATATAATCAGTATATATATATATGTATATATATATATATATATTAATATATTACAAACTGCTTTTAAATTTATTATAATAAGTTTAAGAACTGGTACAAGTGGTCTCTGTGCATATTGGTGCCATGCTAAAACCAAATGAGATTCTTATACATTGCCTAATGGTATAATTAAGGAGATAAGTAAAAAAAAATTGGGAATGGTTAAATAATATAAAATTTGCACCTTTTGAAAATAAGATGCCAATTTGTATTGAAGATTTAGTTTGTTTGGTTTCTAGTAGAAAGTACACAGGAATTAGGCCAGGCTCACGCCTGTAACCCTAGCACTCTGGGAGACTGAGGTGGGAGGATTGCTTAAGCTGAGGAGTTGAAGACCAGCCTCAGCAAGACCCAGTCTCTACTAAAAATAGAAAGACTTATACTTGGCTCTTTGGGCAGCTGTAGTCCCCATTACTCTTGCTGCTGAGCAGAGGATCTCTTGAGCCCAGGAGTTTGAGGTTACTGTGAGCTACGATGATACCTCTGCACTCTACCCAGGAGACAGAGCAAGACTGTGTCTTAAAAAAAAATACATACATAGGAATTAGATTAGTGCTTTATAATTTGGTATGCATTCTTTGGATATTTTCATAAAGTAAAATATCTTTGAAAATGCCACATAATTTCATATATATATATATGCTTTTTGAACTGTCACTTTGCCTAATCAATAGGTAATGCTTAAAAGATGATAATTTTAAATAGCTTGAACCATTTAAGGAGAGATAACTCATTGCTTAAAAATAATTTGAGTTTGTGTCCTAGATATATTGCTCTGGGTCAGCAGCTGTCTAAATGGGTGGCTCAATCCTCAGTATCTGTTCTTTCCCAGAAGCAGCACTGGTCTTTCAGGCTAGTCTTGACCAGGTGGGTGCCACACTGTAGTTTTTCAAAGAAGCCCCTCTGGGCATCTCTGCTGACTGCTTGGGAGCCTTCACGTCTGTTGGTCGTTAGAAAGTATAGAGTGGGCTGGGTGCGGTGGCTCACGCCTGTAATCCTAACACTCTGAGAGTCCGAGGCAGGAGGATTGCTCAAGGTCGGGGTTGAACCAGCCTGAGCAAGGGTGGACCCGTCTTACTAAAAAAACAGAAAGAAATCAATTTTGGCCAATAAAAATATATATACAAAATTACGGGCATGGAGGCGCATGCCTGTAGTCCAGCTATTCGGGAGGTGAGGCAGAGGATCACCTGGCCAAGCGTTGGGTGGCTGTGAGGCTACGGCTGATGCATGAACTCTACAGGGAACAGGTGAGATCGGTCTCAAAAAAAAAAAAAAAAAGAAAAGAAAAGAAAGTATAGAGTGGCCAGAGGGCAAAAAAAGCATTGTTCTCTAAATGCCAAAGAATCTTCCAGATTGTTCAGAATGATGAGCACACTGCTGTAACACAGGGGAATCTCCCCTGGGGAGAATGTAGAGGCTAGAGGTTCCAGCCTGGCGGTGGAGGCAGTCAGATCTGCGCCCTGACTCCTGGCCAGCCCTTGGGCCGGTTTCCACAGCCTCTCAGAGGCTCCATTTTCTCACTTGTAAGACAGGGGTAAGAAAAGAACCCCTTTGGTGAGGTTGTTTTGAGGATTAAATGAGATATCTTAGCATTTTATTCCACACATAGTAAGCGCACAACAAGTGTCAGCTGTAGTAGTGTTAGTTGCTTCTAACTGGAGCTAGGGTCTAAAGTCAGCAAGTAAATCCTGTCCATTCTGTCTCTAAAAACAAATGGGAAAAGGCTTCCACTTCTCTCCATTCTTCCGTTAGTTGCTCCATTCAAACAGAAGCATTGGTCACCTGCCCTGCACCAGTGGCTTCCTGAGCAGTCTCTCCGCTTCTGTGTTGGCTGTCCTTAGCTACACTGTCCACGTGAGAGAAAAGGGAACTTTTGAAAACATCAAGATCCTGCCACGTGCTTGCTTAAAATCCTCCAGTGGGTTCCTGGCCTCGGCCTTCAAGATCCTGCGTGAACTGGCTGGGCCTCCCTCTCTGGCCTCTTTGGGCGCCACTCTGGGCTCCCCTGGTGGCTGCATCTGGAGCCCTCCCAGCTCCCCAGCACGCCAGGGCCTCGAGGCTTGTTCCTCTTCTCCTGGAATGCTCTTCCCAGATCTTTCCATGGCCGCCTCCTTTTTATCATTCAGGTGGTGTTTTCTTCAGAGAAGCCTTCCTTGACCAGTGAATAACTCTCATTTACGCTTCTCCATTTTATTTTTTTCACTTAACATTATTTAAAATTATCCTATTCTCACTGCATTCTGAATTAAGTGTTAGTAAAGATATAAAAAAGAAAGTAAAATTTCTATTTATTATAATTAAAAAAAAATAAAATAATCCTATCATCTGCCTTCTGCACTTAGAGGGCAGGCTCTGTGACAGTGGGGGCCATGTTTAATCCCTTCTTCATTGTGTTGCTATGTGGCCACCTTAGTAAATACAGAATGGATGAATGAGTTACCATCAGTATGAACTGCTTTGGACTTTAGGTTCATCGTCCCAATGTGGAGATTGGGCCTAGAAGGTCTCTGAAGTGCTTCTACAGTGTGGTGATTATCTATGGACACCAGCAGTTCCACCTGACCTGGGCATGTTCTCATCAGCGAGGAAACGTGGCCAGTGATTTTGGTGTGTTACTCTTGGTGAAGTCAGCTGGTGAAAGTCAGCACAATGGGGCTCCCCAAAGTACATCATCTCACACGCTGAACTAAATTATATTTCAAAGTAGGGGACAAAAGCTTCTTGGTACAATGTTTTTCATTATGAAGTCAGTGTCTCATTTCAGAAACTCTGTTTTTTCTTTTGCTGTCACATTTGCCAAAGTCCTTTAA